TGAAGCCGCGATTATTTTAATCGCGGCTTCATTTCCCTCTGCCGATCTGGCTAATCTACATGCCTCCGTCGAAGGAGGCATGTAGTCTAGACACACCCCATGGTCCTACCGGCAGCTGAGTGCAGGGAAATAATTCCAGCGTTCGTTTGAGATGAACACCTATATATAATTTGTGCTTGCAGTAAGCTATGTCGGCATTAACAAACAGCAGCTCTGGCTCCGTTATCCAATATTTTAAAAAAAAATTCTATATTGTACGTCAAGTTTTGGGAGTCCTTCTGACACCTCCCTTCCTATGTGTGATTCTGTGGAGCATCTATACACAGATTAAGTTATCAACTGTCACCGTTGAGGATTTTGTGCAGTCTCTGGCATGTCTGCCTTCACAAGGTAAAAACCCTGCTTATCCTATTTGAAATATCCCTTTAGCAATAATAGTTTCTTACATTGAAAGTATTTAACATATTTGCTGTCTTGTAGTGGAATTTAGCAGCTGACAGGGAAGAGGACAGCCAGCAACACATGGCCAGTTGTGTCTTTGCAGGCCACCAGTGGCACGTGGATCCCAGTTTGAGAATCTCTGGTGGATATGGACTGTAATATCTAGCCAATGCAATATTCTTGAGATTAGTGTGGTATGACTCTAGTCTAAAGCAGTCTGTGTGCTGGCAGATTCTATTCAGGCTATGTTTATTATAAAACAAACAAACAAAAAACCTGAAGGGAAAGGCAAAATATTTTAACTTTCAACTAATTTTAACTGATTCTTTTAAGTCTTCTGACTTGATGGCCACTTGCTTTCAAGTGAATCAATAGCGTTTCCACTGTAAAGGAACCACACCACACTCAGAGCTATTCAGATCAGTGACATGAAAAAGGCCCAAAGTATTACTGTCAACATCTAACCACCAACAAGGAAAAAATCCTTCAGAAGGACAAGCAGGAACTAAAACATGGTTTGAATCAGAACATAATTTGCCAAGATTAAAATTACAATGTAATAAAAAATATGAGTGTGTTAATGTGAACAAACACATTTTTGAACAAGGCACAGTCTGACAGACTCTAGTTTTTTCAGTGCTGCCAGTTTACACATCTCTCTGCCTCCTTACAGAGTATTGCTTGAGACATGTAGTTTGATGGCAAAATACATCAACTGCTGTAACCGTACACCTGTATAGCTGTGGGACTGTCACATCCTATTAGCAGAGATGAGTTAAGTCTTCACTGTGGACATACAGGAAGTCTACACGAAACCATCCATTCTGATTTCAGGAAACAAAATCCATTAAATGGGATTGCAGTATAACATGGTCTCCAGAGTAGGGATGTAAGCAACTAGTCAACTATTCAAAAAGCCTAGGCGGGGGAGGGGTGGGGCAGGGACAGGAGCTGGTGCTGGGGGCGGGGCAGGAGCTGGCTCCCCCCCCCCCCCCAGCACTGTCTCTGCAGGGGGGCAAGAGAGGCAGAGGCACAGCAGGGGAAACAGTGCCAGCAGGGACAGAAGCTGCACCTCTTCCTTTGAAATGTACAAGAGCTACTCGATTAGCTGATTAATCGAAATTTAACATCCCTACTCCAGAGCAGATTTTATATATAATTCTAGTTACAGAAATAGCCTTGCTGCGAGTATTAGCTGTACTCCTGTTGAGACACAGCAGTTTGCTAATACCTTCTGTCAGTATCAATGTCCCTGCTGGTTATTTACTGTTCAAGAAATGGACTACAATAAAAAATTAATAAATACCATATTTAAACTGAAGCACTTGTATCTGCCATTTTTTTTTATTTAATAAGGCAGGAGGAAGAGTGAAATTCTAATAGCCTTAGCTAGTAATGCAGGCTTCTGCTCTAGGTCTTGTTCTCAGATCTATATTTCTGAGAAAAAACTCTTTTTCAGGTGAAAGTTTCCAGTCTTGGATTCAGTATAAAGGTAGGTTTTTAGGAAGTTCAAGCAGCATCCAACTGTCCCTTGTTACACTCCGGCCATGTCTACACTAGGAAACTATTTCAAAGTAAGTTGAATTTAGTTAACTCCAGTGTTCCCACTAAGCTGCGCAGCAGCCCAGCTTCACAGATGATTGATCAGCCCCACCCAGCCAGAGGGTCAGGGCTCTGTGCAGGGGAGATGACTGGGCAGGGCTGATTAATCACCTGTGAAGCTGGGCTGCTTAGAGGGAACACTACTTAACTCCTGATTTTACAAAATCAAAATAGCATGTCTCCATTACACGAAAGCCTCAAAATTAGTCTGAGGCAGGCTTCATTAATGTGGATGTGCTACCTCGACTTCGAGCCCCAGGAAGCACTGGGAAGTAATTAATTTGAATTACTCTGGGAACCAGTTATTTCAAATTAGCAGCACCAGAGAATCCAAATGAACGCTATTTTGAAATGACTTTCGAAATTAGTGTTATTCCCCAAGAAATGCAGGAATTCAGATTTTGAAAGAAGCAGCCCCTTATTTTGAAATAATGGGCTTGATAGTATGGACTACTTATAAATACGCTTACAAATTCAACCAAAGGGGAGTTATTTCAAAATAAAGCCCTAGTATAGACCCAGGCTTAGTATATATGTATATTTCTCACCATCTTCACTAGGTCAGTTGCACAAGTAAAATTCCTGGCCTGAGCAACTATCTTTCAGGCCAATTTTTACACTTGGAGAGGAGGAAAAAAACGTATCCATGGAAGTTGATTTGTTAAAAAACAAAAAACAAACAAAAAAAAACAGCTTATGGGATTTGGAATGTTGGACTAAAATCCACGGGAGCCCGATTAAAGGTAACAGGACAGATAAAGCTGTCAAAGATGCATGATCAACTCCCGTATCTTGTACCTAGAACTGGTCACATTTCTCACCTACATGTATGGGATATGGGCATGCATATGTGATGTACACACACTTATGCCCCATGTGGAGATAACGTCTGATAAAAGAAATCATTGTGCCTTACTTGTCTTCTGATCAGTCTTTCCCACATCACCCATACACAAATAGAATGAGTAAGTTTTGCTTGTAAATGCCTCAGAGGCAAACAGGGAGACAAGATATAAAGAGGGCAGCTTATTCTACTCAACACTATATAGCTTTTAGCAATCCCAATTGGAATTAATCAAGGTTGATCCAATGAAGAGAATAGAGTGAAACCATCCTCTAAAAACTGAGGATCTGACCCCTTTCTTAGGGGTTCTGCACTGGAAAACAGACATGCCCTAAAAGCCAAGGCTTTTAAGCCTCATCTTTCAATTAGTTAATAAAAACATACAGATCATTCCGGTATCAAATGCTACTTTTAGGCAATAATTTAACAGTACCAACACCCCCATCACTTTCATGACACTACATGATAAGGTAATGTATAAGATGTACCTTTGGGGTATCGACTCTCTCTTCCTCCATAAATGCTGATTCTACTTGGCAGCTAGCAGGGGGAAAGGAGAAGGCTTCTGCAGCTGAGGGTGGGGGGAGGCCCGGAGACCTCAGCAGCCTTACATTCTGTGAACGCAGGCTCACAGGGGGCACCACGGCTTGCGTCTATGAGATATAAAAAACAAAACAGTCTTAGGGCAAAGAGGAATCATGAACAATGAGAACAAAAAGATAATTGCAAACACGAAGCTGGTGGCAGGGGCTCCCCTGAGGAGCCTAGATTTTTCTGCTTGTCACTACATGATAAGGCAGGAGGGTTGGTACTAGTGAGGCTTTTGTCATGTTTGATAAAAGGAGAGAAGTGCTTGAGCTAAATTCCTTCAAGGTCATTGGCATACAAACGTCATTAATATTAAAACCATAGTACGGCTCAAAAGTAGGTGGTGAGATTTACTGCCTTGACCTTCATACAGAAACATGGACTTGCAGGCTTAAGACTTAAGAATTTATTTAGTAAATAGAAAAATGTACGTTTCTGAACAAGCAGCATCTCTTCACTGAAGATGTTAGTGTGTAGTCGTTTATCTGATTAACCGGTAAGTCTGGGCTCATCAGTTAATCCTAATGATTACACTCACTCACTCACACTGCTGCCTCTGTATTGCTGTTCGCCCCCATACCCCCACACTGCTCCTCCTTTTAGTTCCCAGCAAAATCCAACCAACCATTTCTTCAGTTACACACCTGAGCAATGCCAGGTAAATCTGCTACTGCTACATAACATTGAACACAGTAAGGATATAGAGAACATTGCACCTATGCAAACATTGGGTTACTGTGGCAATAAAACAGAAGACTGCTTCATACAGCATACTAAAGATATGAAGGGATTATTTTGTGATTTTTCTTTTTCATTTGTCAGACTCCATCTGCTGTACTAATGAGTCACAGGTAGAGCAAGAGTTACAGGTTCATCAGAATTCAATTTTTTTTATAATGGGAATAGGTTTCTAGAATAATTTAAAACAAGATCCACGTGGTCAAATACAAAGTCCATCCTGGAAAAGAGTAAAGAACGATCAACTTCTCAGAGTGTCCGGGGTAAAATTCTGGGTGCATCAAGTCAATGAGAATTTTGGCACTGACTTCAGGGGGGCCAGAATTTCCCTTCTCTTGGAATTGAGACAAATGGCATAATCCGGAGGGTGGGTGTTCTCTTTTAAAGTGACTAGTGCTATGGCTGAGATCGGTGTGACTCATGCGATACTCAGAATGCCATGGATGAGAACTGAATTTAACCAAATGTTACCTGGCCAAAGGTAACTTCACTCAGTAAGCAGCTGAGGGTTAGTAGGCATGGGAATTAGATATGCCACTGCGCTATGCTTGGAAATAAGACCAGCCCTCACAGCAACATCGGAGCTAGGTTGACTGAATTCTTCCACTGTCCCTGAAGAACTTAGCGGCAACTCTCCCATAGCCAGCCCGGTATGTAGTGTGATCATCAGTCACGGCTGTGCGTAGCAGGCACAGACTGATCATGCCATTACACATGCATGGGCCAAGCAAGCAAATCAAGTGTTTACAAAAACACAAAGTTCCACACAAAAATATTAATCAGAGAGATCATGGGAATCCTAAACACAAACAAGGATCTAGTAACTTCTCATGTTTTACCATCCACATGTTGATATGGTATTCAAAAGGCTAGAATAGAGGTGGGGGCAATAATTTTAAAAAAGGGGCCACTTCACAAATTTCAGAAGTGGCCCCAGGTGGCCCTAGAAGAGGCAGGCCCTCAGACAGAAGGGGTGAGGCCAGGAGACTTCTCATGCTTCCCCTTTACCCCTGATTGGCCTGAAGGTGGAGGAGCACATGAAGTCTTTGCCTCTCTCTGTCCCCAGCCCCATCAGTCCCTCGCCCTGCCAGGGATGCATGGTGACTAGAGAGAACCACCGGCTATTTTAAAACAGATGGCGTTTCTCTCTAGCTGTCGCATGCCAATCAGGGCTTGGGGGCAGAGAGGAGCAGGCAAAGTCTCTCTTCACCTGCCCCTGCCCTGCCAGAGGCACACAGTGGCTGGAGAGAACTGCCAGCTGTTTTAAAAGAGCTGGCGGTTCCCTCTGATGCCTTGTACCCCTTGCGGGAGGAGACTTTGCACACTCCCCCATCCCCAGGTCTCATCTGGCCTGGGGGCAGGGACGTGGTAGGGCAGCCATGGGCCAGATCCGGCTCCAGAGGCACTCTTGCCCACTCTTGGGCTAGAAAGTGCATAGCCGTTTCTACCTCAGGGCTCCCCTATCTACAGCTGAACAAGTGGCAGCCTTGGTGGGAATATTAGTAAAGTTCCATAGCACAAACACAGCAAGCACCAACCATTTGTGTGCTAGAGATCTCCACACTAGCCTGGATGACTTTTCAACCATCAAGGGATTTACAAATGTGTTCAAACACAGGTCAGATACAGCTAATCCAAATGAACACATTTGTAAATCCCTTGATGGTTGAAAAGTCATCCAGGCTAGACCAGTGTTTCTTAAACTTTTTGAGACCATGGAACACCAAACAATAATAATTTTTTTATGCGAAACACCTATGGACATTTTCTTCAGAAAAAACGTGTATTAGGAACCAGGTGGCCGGAACCAGTTCAGTTCCAGCTCATGCCAGATCTGGGAGCTCAGACCCGCCCCCTGGACAGGGGCTACTGCCACCGCATGCTGCTGCCTCTGTATCAGGCAAGATAGACCCTTGGGCTGGGGCTGGCAGCCAGTGCAATCCGGCCCCAGTCACAGTGCACCCCTTGCCACCGCATGCTGCTGCCTCTGTATCAGGCAAGAGCCAGCTCCCCTCGCGGACCAGCTGCCTGCTACCCCGCATCCAGAGGCAGCAGCACGGAATGGGAACAGCCCCTGTCCACAGAGGTCTGAGCTCCTCAAGGACAGAGGCTACTGAGGGAGGGAAGGGAGAGGCTGTTGCGAAGCAGCCTCTGTCCACAGTGGCCTGGGACTTCACGTCTGGCTTCGCTGCATTCTCCTATGTCTCCCCCTCTTCCCCGCACTGCTACCTATGATAGTGGCAGCAGCACGGGGTCGGGAGGCAGCACCGGTTCCTGATTCCCACCTGCACCCTACTGCCTCTGACAGAGGCAGAAAGGAGGAGGGAAATGTGAGTAGTCGACTAGATTAACTGAGAAGCCTTGGCTTTTCAGACAGTAGTCTAGACTCTAGACAACTACTCGTTCACATCCCTAATGGGGGGGGGGGAGATAAACTGTCCATGACCTTTTTGTTTGGAGGAAGTAACTAGGGAATAAAGTGATCAAGTAGCAAGCATTCCTCAGAGCCTGTACTGAATCCATCAATTTTGGAAGCATAAATGAAGAAGATACTGAGTAGATTGCCCCTTGTGAGTGTGATAAAATGCATGTGACATCTTTGAAATTCACATCTATTAGTTAATCATCATACTGGTTCTACTCACACAGAGGTGCTGGAAAACCTCAAAGGGAATCATTTACAGTATTCAGCCACTGGTGCTACAGGACTGTTAGCAAAACCAGACTCCTGACCACATGTCTCAGGAGATTCTCATGCTGGTCTTCACAGAAAAAACATTGCATTTAGTGTGAGGTGTACACACTGTTCAGATACTAAGTATAGTAAACTTCCGATAATCCGGCACCTTTAGGATCCAGGGGGTGCCAGATTATCAGATATTCTGGACTATCGGAAGGGGGGGGACTATCAGGGGTCTGGGGAGGGGTGGGAGGGATGGGGGGGAGCGCAGTA